GCTGTGATAAATCTATACTGTCCATAAAGCTTTCTTTAAAAAAAGCGAATGCTGGTGTCAGCCATGCTATTGGTAAAGACTTTTTTTTCTTTTTCTCTGCTCCTCCTCCCAAGGGATGCCTTTGACAGCAACTTCCAAACGAGGAAACATGGTAATCAGTTTTCCGAGGATGTTCGAAACTGCAGTGCAGGAAATGTTGCATATCTTCAGTCAATTTAGGGTAACAGAGAGGAAATTTGAAGATGTAGAAGAAATGGAGGAGTGCAGACAGCAGGACGGTCAATGAACAGGCAGCGTTATTAAACAGTCTGAATAGGCCCTAGGGACAGACAACGACTGGACTGGGTTAAGGCAAAAGATGAATTCAACTGGATAAGTTAGCAAGAGGCTAGTAGAGTTTCTCAAAGTGAAAAGCTGCTGCTGTTCTGTGGTGAGCAGACAGGGTACTGTTTTCTTGTTAATTTTCCGAGTTTTTTTCTGAATTGTCAGAAGCAAGGATGTCAGAAAAAGAATTCACCTTATAATGATCAGTTCTATAGAAAAGAAAAGCCTCTGTTATTCTTGACCATTTTTAGCTTTTATGGTTTGTAGCATTTGGCCTGGTCTAGTAGAAGACTTAAGGATTCCACGATTAAACTATTCCTGCTTTTAAAATTTGCCTGTGATGGAAAGAAAGGGTTGGTTTGTTTATCAGTGGAAACCGCAATAGTAATAGTGTTTTACAGTTTTATACAACTCGAGAATAGAGCAGCGGACGTTCGGCAAGAGGTGCCCTCTCCTGGTTTACTGACCCATGGCACCCTCGAGGGTGCAGAGCCAGGTAAGGAGACCCGGGAGCCAACACTGCCAGTCAGTGCTGATCCAGATTTAGAGAAGAGTTGTTCTTTCAGCAGGGTCTTACGTGCTTTTTCATGGTTTACTAAATATCAGAGCGTACATTCAAAGTTTGCAGTCTGGGGATTCACAGAAAGACCTGAATAGAAAAGGATGCTTCTTTCAGGATAATCTGATTTGAACAGCATACAACTTTAAAGAAATCTTTATAGCCTTCACTTTTGTTTCTTTGCTATAAAAGGTTTAGTCAACTCTACAGGAAAGTGGAAAAGAAAGCAGTGACCTTCTGGATCAAATTGGTTTAACTGCATTCAGGACATTCCTTGTATGCATGTTAAAGAGTAACTGCCGCTTTTTTTTTTTTTTTTAGCATTGTTACATAGCAAACGGTGCCACTATTCGTACTTAATAAAGCTTGTCAGCTTTATCAGAAAGGGATGCACTAAATGTTATAGAAGATATTATTGCAATCCTGTTAACTTACATCTTCGCATTTATTCCCAAATTCCCTGAAGCAAGTGCCCCGGCATAGGGGATTAAAACAGATCTGAAAGTTCCTGCAAGTTCCTAGACTTCCTTGCAATTCCAGTGGGCTTTGCTGCTGTGGCTTTCCAGGAGCAGCTAAACCTAAAATATTCCTGACAGATGTGAAATGAAGTGGATCTTGAAACCTGTTACACTCAGAGGTATGCTCTCCATAAGGTACTCTACAGTAGAGCTTAATTGTGCAAATTTTTCATCTTTTCTGGATGAAAAGATCTTTTCTGTATATCTTCATCTGGATATGTATCTCTATGTATCCATCTACCTATCGATCTCTCTAGTTATCTATAGCTGTCTGTGTCTCCAACTTAAGTAACTTGCTTGCCTCTATCAGTGCAATGAATTTTTTCCTGCTGAATTGTAGGATGTCGCACTCACTGTGACTGACTCCAGGCTTCTGTGGGGTGAGGGCCCTTTTGCGATGGAGGGGATGCTGGTGATTTTTTTTTTTTCTTTTGAAGGTCATATTTTGTGCTAATATTTTTGTTTAAAATGTTTGCACTGCCTCCTTGTTTTAATATTTCTTACATTGCCTTTGTCATTTAACTGAAATAAATTCTGAACACTGGATTTGAGACCTAGCCTAGAAATAAAGTATCTCAATATATCTTTCAAGTTTGACAGCATGTTAACATTATGTTTTAAGTTTTGAATCCACTGTTTCCAGCCGATTTGAAAGCATCATTGTGTCTATCCTCTTGCTCTTCTTTTTCCCTAAACTTTGTGTTTATTCCTGTCCTGTTTTGGAGGTCTCCAGCGCATTGATATTCTTGGTATGATGGCACTGGCTTTACTACTGAACAGTAGTTTGACTCTTTCCATGATCTTTTTACACCACTAATAGGCAGGTTTTTTTGCTTGAGACCTTTTATTTGACCTTTTATTTGCTGCTTATGTCCAGCTTTACATGCAACTGATTTTATTTATCACAAGAGTCCATCTATGTAATTTGTTGTATACTTTGAAGCAATTTATTTTTCTGATGCAAAAAAACCCTAACAGACTTATTGAAAGTTGTGTCAAATTGTACTTTCTGATTTTTCTTTCTATGAAAGGAAACTAGTTCTTGATTTCAATAGCTTGACTTTTGTTCAACACCATTCAGTCCCTTCATTTTCAGGATATCACAGGATACATAGTACAAGGTAATGCCCTTGAGTTTTACTTTTCCATGTCACACAGAAATTAATTGTGCCCTGAGGTTTTTCTTGACTGATCATTGTATTAGTATAACAAGAGCAGGATGTGTTTTTGGGGCTGCTGTCAGTTTTTTCTTTTCTACTTTGACACTCACTAACAAGGCTGGGCTTTTGGAAAAAAAAAAAAATAAAACTTTTAAACTGTACTTCAAGAACATCACTCCACAGAATTAGGTTTGCATCCTATCTGCTGCAAACAAGTTCATTTTGTGTGGTACATGGTACCATTTGGTTGCATGGAGGGGAAAAATTGTGCAAGAGATTGTTGAAACATATCAAGAATTGTCCATACTGCATGTGTAGACACTAGTCTTTTGTTTGCAAAGAAATAACAATGCATGACTCTTTATCAGGTTTGCCTTCCATTTTAATCACATGATCATTATTTTCAGTTTTGACAATAAGTTCATATGGGATTATGGATAAAAGTAGAAAGAATATATGTAAACATTTATATATATCTTTTGGTGCTTTTCCCAGTTTTAATTTAACAGAATATATTAGCTTGAAATAACTTTTTTTTTTTTTAAACACAGAGGCCCTGAGAAATTGAAATGTACTGACTAGCCTAAAGGACATGAGGAATCCTGTTTTTAATGAAATTCTGAATGAAAGTCCTACCTTTATAATTGAAAAAAATACATGTATGTTAATCTGAATGTGCTTTGATAAGGGGTAAAAAACCACCTCTAATTACCTATAGCTGTGGTATTTACATTCCAAAGAGGTACTCTAATTAATGGAAATCTAAATTTATGTCTCTAAGTGCTCTATTAAGAGTGCTAATTTGTTTAAAACTAGAGCATATTTTATTTTTCCACTAGACCGAGATGTCTGTCGTTAAACGCTAAGTGTAAACACTTTTGACATTTTAATCCTAAAAATAGAATCTCATCATTCATGTAGTGGTAACAAGTTAATATAAATTTAGAGGGAAAAGGTATGTTTGTGTGTGTATGTGTGATTGTAAGTTATTGCTATGGTGTTGCAGATAACATATGTTATACAGGAATCTATTTAATGTGAATACCATAGTGGGGATAGCAGTAGAGTAGAGCAAGGTAGTAATATATTCATGTTAACGCATCATTTTGGATTCTTCTCAGTCAGTTCTTCCTCAATATACATGAACTTCCAGCTTTAAAAACTCCAAACGGCAGTAATTTCTAGAAGAAGTAAGAAATTGTTTAATTCTCCTCAAACGTTTAAAAAAACATGCACTGCAGTTCAGTAGGATTCTCCTGTACTGAGAGAGGAAATAAGAGTATTTAATACAATTTATCGTGGATGAGCTATATGGCTTTTGTAAAGGAAGTTACGCACTACTGATAAGCAAGCTCTTTGAAGTCCATGCCTCACTTACTAAGCATATGGACCTAAGGCAGTTAGTATAATCTGCTTGGATTTTCAAAATGTAAGGTCCCTCCCCAAAGGAAAGTTATACTGGTTTGAGAGGGACAGTCTTCTAATTTGTAAGTCGTGAAAAGAATAAAACAAAGGAAAGGGGAAGAATAGTCAGTGGAGAGAAGTCACTGGAGGGTGTATGCTATGGTCTATCCTACTCAATATAGTTCTAAGTGATTGAGAGAAGGGAGTAAAAAGCGAGATGACGAAGTTGGTGACAATACTGTGTTAACTCTGAAGTGGTAAAAAAAGGTGACTGCAAGAAATTGGAGAAGGACCTTGTGATATTCACTGCATAGGCTGTGAGTGGAAAAGGAAAACTGAGTTTCGATAAATGAAGTAATACGCAAGGGGAAAATGATCATAAATTCACATATAATATGAGTTCTCAGCTTATCCTATAGATGAAGTCTTGGAATTCTGAACTATGAAAATATCACCTCCAATCTCAGTAATGTTCAAAAAATCAAATACAATGTTAGAAATTCTAAGATAAGCAATAGAGAACAAAGTAGAAAACCTCACTGTGTTATTGTATAAATCCATGACTGTCAAGTGAACTTTCAGTCCCACTGTTTCAAAAAGGTTCAGACAAACATATCAAGGTTGACCAAAGGTATAAAACATGATATAATATGTATGTATAGTCTGGGAGACATTTAAATAGACTAAATCTTTTTAGCCTGGAAAAGAGGTGACTGAAGGAGAACCTGATGGAGACAAGTTACTTACTCATCGATCAATGCAGGTTTCTCGACATTCTTTTTCTGTTTCAAATCTGTTGTTGGTACCATCACAGCCTCCGTACCAGAACTGGCCACAAGAATTGCCATTCTTGTCATAATACCATTTCACCACGTAGTCCCGACAATCCCCTGGTTTCAAAGGTTCCAAGCACCTTGGATCTGAAAGCGTATCAGTAAAAGTTAGCTTGGATTCTGGAGATAAGTTACATTATCCCAGAAGTGTCTCCTTCAGTAAGAGCAGCACCCTTTTTTTTTCTTTCTTGTAGTGCCTGTGAGTCTATATGCCTCTCTCAAATTGGTAGCCAAATTCCATTTCTATTAATGAGTTACCTGAACAGGCCTAAACAAATACAGGATCAGTTTGAAACGAGACTGCCTAAATCCTGATGCAAGAACCAAGCTGCTAGTTAATACCTAAGCGCTCAGTTGGTACGTAAGGATTGTTTGTCATCTATGTCTGAAAACATGGCTCTCGCTGTGTGTGATGTCTGCAGCCAGAGCACCCAGAAAAAAAAAGTGATAAAATCTAGTAACTGTACTGGGGGAGGGAGTGAGTTTTGCTTGGGTTTTTTTTGGTACAGACTTGCTACCTGATATCTGAGGACAGTATTTAGTACTTACCTTTTTGGGTTGTTGCTACCTGTGTTTGCCATACAGTTAGGTGGTGATTTTCAGTGGCAGTTACATTGAACAAAGGGTTGACAACTGGACTCTGAGGTCTGATTTCAGCTATGTCATAAAGCGGGGGAAATCTTGATTCTCTGTGAGCAGAGGTGGTTGCAGTGTGATCCTGAGCAGATGGCAGCGGCTCAGTATCTCTGGTCCGTGGTGGACTAAGCTGAAAAACGAGTCAAAATCTTATAACTTAAGATTCTGTCTGGGCTCAGATGCTAAGAGAAAAAATTGAATTACGTAGGAAACTTTTGCTAAATAACGTGTGAAAAACCACCATTAACAGCAGGTGGATTTGGACCTCCTTGGAATGACTATTCAGTATGTGACCATAATTTTCTGACACTGAGAACTGAAAGAAAAGTAATGCCTTCAATTTAGTCACTAGGCTGAATTTGTTCAATTGAAACAAAATTTCAGTCACCACTTAGACTTTCATTAAATAAAACAAAAAAATGGAAGGAATTCTGGGGTAAATCAGTGCTTCTTAATATTTAGTACACTCACTGGGAATGATCTGACAACTTTAATCTGTCAAGAAATGGAAAGTGGCAGGCAAGAGGAACAGGGTACTCATTATTGATAGAAAAACACATGTATGTTATGCTCCTCCAAAGATCTTTTTAGATATGAAAGTACAGCAAAAATTTCCAAAATTTGTGTTACGGGAACCACATCATATTAATAAGATTGTCTCATAGATGTGTCCTTGCCTGTATAAAGCCAAGTGATAAATCACCCATTTTCCTGTTTCTAGCTAACTGCCAGTTGCTCATCATTAGAGTTTACCTTGATAGAAACATTAAAAAGCCAACCCTGCTCTCTAAATTAAGACTGTTATATAAAAAATCGCCTCTCTAGTGTTTTCATAGAATCATAGAATGGTTAGGGTTGGAAGGGACCTCAAAGATCATCTAGTTCCAACCCCCCTGCCATGGGCAGGGAAATCCTCCACTACACCAGGTTGCCCAAAGCCTCATCCAACCTGGCCTTGAACACCTCCAGGGATGGGGCATCCACAACTTCTCTGGGCAACCTGTTCCAGTACCTCACCACCCTCAATGCAAAGAATTTCTTTCTTATATCTAACCTAAATCTGCCCTCTTTCAGTTTAAATCCATTGCCTCTTGTCCTATCACTACACGCCCTTGTAAAAAGTCCCTCTCCAGCTTTCCTGTAGGCCCCCTTGAGGTACTGGTAATTTTAGTATATTCAAGAAGATTTGCAAGGATCTTGGTACTGTGTAGTACAAATGACTGCATTAGTCCCACACGTTGATTACTTACTGAGAACAGGGAGGAGTTTGATACTATTCAGTATCTTCCATTTACAGGCCACTACTGACACACTCAGTCAGTTTAAGAAAATTCTTCAGAGTCGTTGGGACTCTGAAAATTGAAGTCTAGGTGAAATGTAAATGTGCAGACAATTCATCTAATCTTTTCCATATTGCATTTCTTCTCCAACTCTATAAAAGGGCTGTGTTTATTTCTGATAGTAATTCAACAGTTTTGAAGATTTAACTATAACCATGGCCAGCCAGAACCAAGTGTGTGAGCATCTAATCACTTAGAGCTAATCCTATCATCTGCGATCCTTATCACACTCTTTATAAAATCAGCTTCTATAAAGCCAGGTTTATATTTATTTTTCTTAATGATACAAAATGTCAGAATTGACCCTCAGTGTCACAAAGATCTGTCTGGTGGTATTACAGGCTCCAAACCTAAATCAATTACACCTACTGAGGGAGCACTTATTCAAAGAAATTACACTGAATTTTGAAAATGAACTATTTAATTGTGAATGATACTGCATAAACAATAATCCAAAGGATTAATATTGGCTAATCCACTGACTCCTCCACAGTAAGACAGTAATATTTAATTAGCTTCAATTTGTATTCAAGTCACTTAATATTTAAATACCAGTATCGTGGTACCCTATATCCATTCCATGCAGCTATAGAGGTTTATGCATCAAATATTTCAATAGTTTATTCAACAGGTTATAGGGGCAAGCAATGCTCAATTTTTATCATTGGCTATTTTTAGGTAAAGCAATAAAAACACCCTAGAGAGTTAGTGCTGATGTACTGTAAAGGTGACCAGTATCCTACTCTGATACTAAGACAGTGGCTAAAAAATACCAAAGACTTTATAAGGGAACTAAGGTGATAACACACCTGCAGAAATTATTTATCTATTGCATTAAAACTCCACCTGTCCTGTCTATCTGTGCAGCAGCACGGTGTTGGAGGGCAGAACCCCAATGCAGGGCAGGAAGAATTTAAAGCCGGAGAATGAAGAATAACATGAATGAGGAGTCCTAGAAGTACAGCCCAATGTGGAAGGCAAAACAATACTGAAGGCTTAATAACACCTGGAAAGTGCATGACTGCTACAAGAAGTATCGTACTAACAATCAGCTTGCACATACATAAATGCCTCCATACTCAGTATCTGCCTCAGTGGAGGTGTATTGGTAAGATTTCTGACTCCTAAGATGAATAAGAACTACAAAAAATATGAGGACTGTTGGCATTTATTGCAACTAAGAAACAGTATCACATTTTTTATTCTGTAAGCTTCTGTTCTCAACAAATATGTTCACTAACTTTAAAAGTTTAGTTCAAATCTTTTGGTCTAGCCAAATGACACATTATTTACATATTAAAAGATTGGTGAACAATGAAATAAAGAGTATTTGAATTCAAATAAAGACATACATTTTTAAAAAACATTTGATAACTTACTTCTTTACTTACTGGGTAACCAATTCCTTCTGTAGGGACCTTACGAATCTCTGAAGTAGTGATTTTAGGTAACTGGCTATTAGTACCTTCACCAGCAATTTCAGTTTCTGGACTTTGAGGCTGAGATACAAAATTATCTTTTCTGCTGTAGACTTCAGATACGTTCTCACAGATTTTTGTGATCAGTTTATTTTCAAGAACTGAAAAGATTAACAAAATGATGAGATTTATTAAGGGTAATCAAGAAAAATCATATTGATTCACCACAAGCTTTTAGTGCAGTATTAACCCTAAATGCTTAATGATAGTGACTTGTGAAAGACCATCTTCTAAAGTTATATCAAAATGCAAACGAGAAGTAATAAAGTAGTACACTCTGAATTATTTGATTTTAAGGCCCTTTGTTCTTCTAAGAAGAAACACATAGAAATACCAAGTCCACTTTTAAAGCAGAAGTCATAGCTCAACAGTGAAGGAATAAAAGAAAACAAAGTGAAGGAAAGAAAGTGTTTATGTTTAAGAACGAAAAATTAAAACTGGGTGACACATTCTACTTATTTGCACAAAAAAATCAGTATCTGGGAATACTTTTATGTTGAATGCTGGAACCTGAGTCAAAGCCCTAAATTTAATCCCAGCTGGGACCAGAACCTTAGTTTGGACTCTTCTCACTGTTAAAGCCTGAAATCCAGACTTAACTCCATCCATAGGCTCAGCATAGCAAAATAAGTTTATGCTCAGGAAAAATGTACTTTATAGGGCTTATCTGCAGTCAGTCTAGATCAGTGTACTTTTATTTTTTCATGGGTCATTATAGGTTTCCTCTGGATTTTCGCCTGATTTCAGCTGTTGCCACAGGATTTTTTCAAGCCACAGTATGAAATATACAACATACTGCCAGACCCCATTCCCTTGTGTGTTGCTCCACCACTTTTCCCCAAGAATCAGGACAAAAGCGTAGGTATCCCTATCGCTTTCAGAAAAAAAAAAATCAAACAAGAGAGTGCTTGCAAGAGATGGTGGAGGGACTCCCAAGACTGACAAGAGCCATATGAAATAGGAAGAAAGAGATGTTGCATTCAAGGTGGAAAGAAATCTGTACCTCTCTGGAATGAAACCATGGCCAAGCAAAAAAGGACTGTGAGGGAAGGCTAAGGCAAGCTCTCACAAAAGAGGAGTGCCCCAAAGAAGGCCTTGGCTCAGAAAACTGATATTCATTGTGCTTTATTGTTTCTGCAAGAGGTAAAAATTTGGCAAAGGTTTCATTTGGCCAAAGAAGAAGAGAAACAGAAGAAAGAGCTGCACCCGAAAGAGAAATATAAGTGCCATTCAGGCCAAACTGCCTTATATGCATATTTCAAGTTTCCTCTTACTAAAATAGTTTCTTTTACCTGAAAGCGTCATGAAGTCATCTATCTGGTAAACATGTTCTTCATCGGGGTCTGTTGCAATGAGCTGCGTTTCTTTCAGAAAATCATTATAATGAAGATCAGTCCTTTGAAAAATCCCAATGACAAATATCTCAATATTCATAGCATGGGCCTCTCTTACTACGGTATCCAGTTGTACTTTATCACGATCATCCGCTTGTCCATCTGTTATTACAACAGCCACTTTTCTGACTGCCGGGCGTGCTGCCTGAAATAGCTTAATGGCTGCTTGGATAGCAGAGGCCGTGTACGTGCCTTCTCCTAAGTAGGGCATTTTATCAACATCTGATTTCAGGTTTTCTTTGGTTGTGTATTGCTTCAGAGAAGACACCAACTCCACTTCACGGCTGAAGTTGATAACGCCAAAGCGGGTTGTAGCATGGTTGGCTGCTACCTTGTCAATGACTGTTTTCATAAAAGTTTTGATGATTTTGAAGTTTTCCGGTCCAACGCTTTCTGAACTGTCAATGACAAATACTAGTTCCAGTGGTGTTACTCTACATCTGATACCACAACCTAGAAGAAAAACCGTTTAAGACATTTTATGAGAAACCGCCTCCATAAAAACAAAGTGAACTCATATATCAGATTTACAGCCAGTTAAAGCTCAATTAATGAATTAATTTATAGTTACTGATACTGATAAACAGAAACAGAACTGGATCAAATTGCTTCCACTATAGCTCTGGCAACATAGTGAGCATCATTTTCGCATCAATGGTATCCTTACACACGAACATGCACAGGGCAAATCCATTCAGTCAATATAAATTCACTGTGTTTTAATAGAACTATTTTTTTTTCCATACTGGAATGCTTACCACATATTTCATTGATAAGTCTGATAACTTCTTCTCTCTGAAAAAGAGTATTAATTAATTTTCTGTGTGTTGTAGTTTTAGAAATGCTGAAATCTAATTATTTATTTGCAAAAATGAAGGCAATGCAACACCTCATAAACAACCTTGTGTAACATCACATAACCTCTAAATATTTTCCCAAAATAAACTCTTATCTTTTAAATTAATTCATGTATATACTTACTGAAAGACCAGGTTCTCCTTTTTTTCCCCAAGTTCCCTGAAAATGTGTAGAGTGAGATAATTAACAAAAGCCAAATTTATCTAATTTCTGTTATGTAAAATTAAGTAATATGAAAATGTGTTTTACCTTTGGTCCTGGAGGTCCTGGATCTCCAATCTCTCCTTTGGCACCTTTGCTCCCTGGATCACCTTTATCTCCATAGTCTCCCTAATTTAAAACAACTATATTAAACACAGTCAGTAAATCCAGTTTTGTTGATAGTCAGAGCTGGAGTTATGGTTCAATGAGCTTTTAAGTTAAATTTTCTGACTTTTTTTGTGTGTGTGTGTGTGGCTAGTTTATCTTGTATGTATTATGAAGAGAACATCTGAAAGCAAACTTTCAGAGAAAGCAAGATGGGCAGTAAAAACATCTTTAAGAAATGTCTATGAAAAATTACCTTAATTCAGGAGTGAGGGGTAAAGACATCTTTATGCAAATGTCAAGAATATGTAATTTTCTACTCTTTGATTTTCGTGAACTCTAAAACAATGTTCATACTGAATCTATGTTAATTCAGACCTATGGAGAGACATAACTGCCTCTGATCAGTCAACGTACTGAAACTCACACCAGCTTTGTACAGAACCCACAGAAAAACTGGCAGCTTGTGAAGTACAGAGGAAAAGGCATGCTTGGGCTGTTATATCCATTGGAAAATACGTAGTTTCACATTTAGAAGTAATTCTGCACTTTTTTCCTCAAGTGACTAGGCATTTTGATATCCAAAACGAGAAAGGGTTCAACACTGTGGTATTTCAAGAGACAGTTTTCATATAATGCAGGTATGAACATACTATCAAAAGATTCAGGTTCTAAATTAGATGTTGCTTCAAGAAGAGACTGTGCAGGACAGTTTTTTACTTCTCTCTGGTAGTTACTGGCCACCTTACATTTCACTTGAAACTTTAAAGCTTAGAAATTTATCTAGATTACTGTCTATTTTAGTATTATTCCTTATTATTACCCAGCCAATGGAATCACATAGATACCACCTGTGTTACAGTGTTTGCCATGATCATTGTTATCAATTTTAAGAAACCCTTTTGACTCTCTCAGTCTAATTCTGATCTTATTCAAACTGGTATATTATATAAAATATATATTCAACCTGAAAATTGTACAGCTGGCCCAGGTATATGCTGTGAATTAAAGGTGGTGTACTGCATCATGCATTTACATCAACGCTCACTCTGCCTGGGCACACTGTTCTCACTTGTGTATGCACATAGTTGGTCTGCACATCCACATTGACTATCAGCCCTGGTTTCCTTCGGCTAGCCTGCTCCCATCAGAAGCTGCACATCTGAGAATCACTAAGAAATAGCCAAAGTATTTAAATTCTCTTTGCGCAAAATTTGCTAAATGAAATAAGTATGTGTAAAAAATTCTTAGAATTTTTATACCAACCAGGAAAGTGTTCAGTAAGGACAGATTCAAGCTTGGGCTCCAATCATTGTAAAAAAAAAAAATGAGTCAAATAAAATAAAGCTGTTAAAAGACATTAGTTAAAAAGAAATTTTTTTTCAAAGTCTGGTAAATAAAAGGATGTTTTATATTATCTGAAAAATATCTAAGATAACTGAATACATAATTCGACTAATATTATTCTCCTGCTAACGGGTATGACCTCATTCTAGATCCTACTTCAGAGCCCAGTCTCCAATGACAATTAGGATTTTCACAGACTCCAAAGCTGACGATAAGTAATAAACACTTACTTACCTTGTTAGCAATATGAGGCAATGTCTTTGCCTTTTATTTATCTTCAAAGACCTATCACACCAAATAATCATTAAAGGAAGAAAAAATTACCTTTTTTTCCTTATTGCAAACCTAGGGTTTACCTTTGGTCCAGGAAGGCCAATTCCTATTGATCCCTTTGGTCCAACAAAACCTTGATTTCCTTTTTCTCCCTGAATAGAATATGGAAAGTAAGTTTAACAGAAAATTAAAGTAAAATCTGTGCTTTATAACATTCCACATCATAGAGAAAGACAAATATTTGTATTATGCAATGAAGCACATAATTTGCAACACCAAAGTGGTCTGAAGCTGGAGAAATAAGCAATTGGGTATGATGCAGAACACACACAAAGCCTTTATAAAGTATATAATGAAGAATTTATTCCTGAATAATTAAATGAAATATTGTCATTTCACTGAAACAGATGAAAGACAAAAGTAACCTCATGGAGGCTCAGTTATTCTTCGAGTCTACAAGCAGTAAAACGAGGTCCAACACAAGGTTTTTCTAGAAATACACATCCAGAATCTCTGCAAGGTTGACTTAGTTTTTCTGAACTTAAATAAATAAAAAGACATCTCTGCTTTCCCACAATGTGGAAAGCAGAACACCTTTCTGCTGATACTTCAAAAGCCAGTAGCAGTCCAGCTACAAAATTGAAATTTGTTTATAATGACTGTTATAAATGCCCTGCTGCATGCACACAGCATATATACAGCATGCACACACACTTGAAAGTATGTTCCTGCTAGCAGTGCGGGCTTACAACAAGTTATAAAACACAGCTGTTACCAAATACGTACAGAAAATCCTTCACAGCGTCTGGCTTCCAAAAACTTTCCTGCTTTACTTAACAGGGTAACAGAAATATTTTTTTTTCAGATCAACTGCTGTATACATTTTAAACACAGCTAGAGGTGATTATATTCCCCGGTACATAAATTTATTTTCTGGAAAAGAAACAGTGATGCACCAAATTACATAGTTGTTTCACTAGGAAGAAAAACAAAAGGAATTTCCTGCAAATAGGAAACATTCCTAAGGCAATGGGATGCAAAAGGCAATTTATTATGCACTGTTGTAGGAATGCACAGCGACTATTTAATCTAATTTACTTTAAGTCACTTTTTAGCAGGATTGTGCTTCCTGGGTCTTTCATGTAGGTTATTAATCCAAATGGCTTTTAAACATAGTGAAACAGTATGCCAGCTTGTTTCCGTGCTTGCTGTCCAGCACTGGGACTGACTATCCGTCCTGCCTAGGTCATCACGTAGCTTCCTGATTAACACCTTTGCAGATCTGCAGAGCATGTACATATGAATCACAATCAGGATATGCTGTGTATTCCAGTGATCCTTCACTAATAATAAATGTCAGATCCGACAAAACTATAGATTCATTGCTGCCATTTGTTACAGCCCATCTGACATTTTTAGGATAGTGTTCAGGCAATGAAAACTGAATGAAATCTACTGTTCTAAAAAAAATTCATACCTGTACAGCTGACATTTCTCACAGGCAGACATGCAAGTTTTATTCTTTAAAATGTCAACTGCAGAACGAAATCCTGCTTTCTCTACTTGTGCAATCAACCAACATTAAGAAGGATTTATCATAGATACCATAACTGAACATTTAGTAAAACCCAAGTATGCTGTAGTAATTTAAAAATATTTATTGCTTTGCCAGTTCAATCCATGTACATAATTAAATTCAAACTCGACCATCAGTCTTACCCTAAAAAACAAAGTGGCATGCATGTAAAATGCAGACCCTCGGATCCTTAACCCTAATATCTTGCTAGATTACAGATCAATAAGCAGAATTCTATGTAAAAATGTCATTCTATGAAGTGAGTGCAGATCTGAGAATGTCTAGACTGTGGTTTTGAAAGGAAACCAAGCATAAAAAAAGAAGACCTGTGAATATAGCTATCAACATAAAGTTACTCGAAAACCATCTAATTTTTGACATTCCGTTCTTACCATACACAGACTGAGCTCTATGTATATATATATAAAAATACTTGGAGTGATATTGATAGTTCAAATGCAGGAGTATCGTAGATTTAAGCTGATGAAGAGTGCCCAAAGAGAATGAAGCTTGGTATAGCTGTGAAAAGAAGGACAAGAGAGACAGATAGAAGCTCAACAAGCATCAATGTATGGAGGAAACAGGTACTATAAGAGCAAGACAGTTGCCAAAGTTGTTCATAAAAAAGTCATTCCTAAGAATTATATAAAAATAATTTTAAAAAGCGATTGTTAAGGGAAAAAAATTTAAACGACAAGACTGTACCTACACAACTCGTAGAATGCTATACAAACAATACCAGCTGAGTTTGATCCACTACATCGTTACAGTTTTGATTTCAAACCCAAAGACAAAGATCTTGCACAGCCAGAGCACATTTTACTTTCCCACATCCCTAAATTCCACATCCTTACATTACAAATATGCCTTTGTCGGACAGTGTGTGTCAGTGGACCATGTTTCATAGATTCATAGATTTCTAGGTTGGAAAAGACCTTAGAGATCATCCAGTCCAACCATCCCTAATCCCCATTAAACCATATCCCTAAGTAGTTCATCCACCCTATTCTTAAACACATCCAGGGATGGGGACTCAACCACCTCCCTGGGCAGCCTATTCCAGTGGCTGACAACCCTTTCAGAGAAGAAATACTTTCTAACATCCAACCTGAATTACCCCTGACTAAGCTTATATCCATTTCCTCTTGTTCTATCACCCATCACTAATGTAAAGAGCCCTTTCCCCCACCATCTTTTCTCAAGTATTTATAGGCCGTAATCAGGTCTCCCCTCAGCCTCCTCTTCTCCAGGCTAAACAGCCCCACCCCCCCCAGCCGCTCCCCATAAGTTTTATTTTCCAGCCCCTTGACCAGTTTAGTCGCCCTTCTTTGGACTCGCTCCAGGAGCTCAATATCTCTCTTAAAGCGAGGGGCCCAAAACTGGATGCAATATTCCAGGTGCAGCCTCACCAGTGCCGAGTACAGGGGCAGGATCACTTTCCTGTTCCTGCTGGTTACACTATTCTTGATATATGCCAGTATCCCATTGGCCTGGGCAAAATGTTCTTCCAATGGAATTCCAATGTTCTTCCATTGGACACCTTCTGTGATGAAACTGAGTTCTCCACATTTTTAAAATATGCTTTAGATATTTATTCATAGCAGTGCCAACAGAACATCCAAAACTCGTATCTATATAGAGATAGATAGATAGATAGATAGATAGATAGATAGATAGATGGATGTATATCATAGAATCGTAGAATCATAGAATGGCATAGGCTGGAAGGGACCTCAGAGATCATCTAATCCAACCTCCCTGTCATGGGCAGGGACGCCTCTCAACTAGACCAGGCTACTCAAGGCTCTGTCCAACCTGGCCTTGAACACCTCCAGGGAGGGGGCATCCACAACTTCTCTGAGCAATTTATTCCGAAGTCTTACCACCCTCGGACTGAAGAATTTCTTCCTAAGATCTAATCTATATCTGTTCTCCTTCAACTTAAACCCATTTCCCCTTGTCCTATCAGTGGACACTCTTGTAAAAAGTCCCTCCCCAGCCTTCCTGTAAGTTCCCTTCAGGTATTGGAAGGCAGCTATTAGGTCCCTCCAAAGTCGTCTCTTTTCAGGGCTGAACAACCCCAGCTCCTGTAACTTGTCCTCATAGCAGAGGTGCTCCAGCCCCTGGATCATCTTTGTGGCCCTCCTCTGAACACGCTCCAACAAATCTATGTCTCTCTTATGGTGGGGACACCAGAACTGGACACAGTATTCGAGGTGGGGTCTCACAAGAGCAGAGTAGAGGGGGAGAATCCCCTTTCTCGACCTGCTGACCACGCTTCTCTTGATACATCCCAGGATGCGGTTGGCCTTCTGGGCTGCATGAGTGCACTGCCGGCTCATGTTGAGCTTCTCATCTATAAACACCCCCACCCAAATGTGTATATGTACACATTGAGCATATTTTGACTAACCTTTATCTTTTTTTCATGAACAGAAACAAATATTAAATAATCTGTATATTTTTTCATGTATCTTCAGATGCATTTGATTGCTGAAACATTTCTGTTCAGAATGGCGATCGCACTTTTGTAAAAAAACCTCACATATCCATAGAGTTAACAAAGATATATACCAAGTATTAGATTCTGGAAACACATTAGAAATGCCTATTAAAGCCAGGCAGGAAATAGTTTTTCTGTACCATAAAGCTGCACAGGGATGGCAGAAATTCTTCCATTTTCCACAAGAATAGAGCAAAGAGCCTTCATAGATTCAGCAAATAGAGGAAGAAGAGAAAAGAATTTCCTTATGCCCTCACTTTAAAATACATAATAGCTTTGTGGTTACTGATAACAATATAGAAGAAAAGGCAAACAGATTGAGATCAAAGGTCTAGACAGTCATGACTAACTGTGTAGAGATCTCTGCCTAGGAAAAATCTGAGATGAGATAAACCAGAATCTCTTAAAGAAAGTTATACAATAAGGAGAAAAGAACAAACACAGTAAAGTATGTTTTTATGCTATAAAACATCTCACAGTGAAAAAGGAAGGGCTCTCTGCAGTATAAAACAAGGAAATGATTGAACATGAATGTAAAAATAGAACACATTGAAGCTGGAATCAGAGCAAGTACTGATCAAAACAAATTCAGAAGGAATCAGTGCTTTTCTGCTAAAGCTTGTATGAAGTAACTCCACGCTGAACCAAAGAAAGGTTCTCCTCTGAAATGTTTTGCCAACAGGGTACATTTTAATGATTTTGTTTGTTTCTTTCAACATGTCACTGTTTTCCAATGAAAACCTATTTTGTCAATTAATTCCCTGGTGGTTTTAGCGTCTACAGCCAAACACAGTATAGAGAGGCATCTTTCCTAATGCAACTAAAACAGTGCCTCTCTTACTGAATCACTGGTGGTTTGATAACCTAGAGTTGGAGAGCTGAGCATAATCCTCCTGATCCAGGAAAATATTCAATCATATGCTCAACTTTAAGCACAATGATTTAAGAGAAATAGGAGAAACTTGGGTTGTTCTCCACTAGAGCCTCCAGTTTTATTAATTTTCTTCCAGACGTGTACAAGACAATTTATTAACTTTGAATATTCAGAATATGTTACTGTGTTTGTGTTTCTTCTTATAAGGAGAGAAATCATTATGGTTGGAACTGAGTGAACAAAAACCTGATGAGTATGTGGGAGACTGGCTAATTTCTTTTATATTCTTATATGTAACGTTTGACTGACTTTGACATGATAGATCTCTGTTACTGTCTTTTACAAGGGCATCCAGAGAAAGCCCTGGATGTTTTCTTTGGAGTGTCCTTTAAATCTAAGTAAATCAGTAAGATGTGGCAGATGTCAGACTTTTTTTTCAGGTTAAAAATATTTGTAATGACAAGAATAATAGGAGAGCAATCGGGTGCCACCAATATTGAAAACTCAACAGTAAAGTAAATACGACATACCTTAGGAACAAGAAACTTAAATATACAATTAATATTTGCAGGAGTTCACTGACTCAGTGGCAGAGGAAAAACAGATAATGGATCTCTTTAAGAGACAGTTTTGAGAAGAAACTGGACAGATACCGCATTAAACTGGATTACCTTGCTTCCTTGTATGCTGTCGCCTTGGGGGCCACGTAGACCAGGCAAGCCTCTCTGTCCCATAATACCCTATAACAGTCAGTGGGGCAAAAAAAGAAGAATTTGGAGGTAAACTCTTATTCCTGGCAACAGGAAGTAATCTCAAATTCACTGCAAGCAAAAAGTAAAACCATGTCAAAGACTCTACTTCTGATTCTTCTTTGGTTTATGGCGTCTCACTGTGGGCCTTAGTAATTATCCTTGGCAAATTCCCAGGAAAGCAAAGGAACAATTAAGCTGAAAATAATTAAAGAATAAAATTTGCCCACGACACAGTGTGATACTTTCCCTGTTTTTTCCTATGTAGAAACCAACAGAAACCATCTTTACAGAACAGCTTTGCGCAATGGTTGCACACAAGGGAGGCACAGCAGTAGAGGCACAAAGGACCGGAGCAATAAAACCCAGCATGAGTAAATCTGCCAGGCGTGTTAGCTAGTTCTTGTGCACCATGTCTGTATGCCAAGCCCCTGCGGTGCCACAGGCTTTGGGAGCACCAGTCATTCAGAAAATCATACGTGGGAGGGGAAGAGAGAAAAGCCAAAGTAGCACCTGCTGATTTGTGTCCATACAGTCAAAGCCAGGTAAAACTCTTGTGCTTCAGAGGCAGGCTAATCCAACATTTCAAAGTGACAAAGCGAAGCATATTCCTTTGATTGCATCGAAATTGAATGTTTAGTGTTTGGTTTTCCTTTTTTTTTTAGAAAAAAAAAAGCTTTTGAAATTTGACCAAGCTTCACAAAACTTTCTGTAGAGTTCAGGTTGGATTTTTGATTACTGTCTTACCATAAACAATCATCGTGCTCCAATACAGTGAATGGAATTCATTCAGTGGTATGTAAATTACCTACATTCTGCATATGTTGACTGTTTAGGCAGAAGTACGTCGAAACTCGATCATCATTAAATAGAAATATATAGTTCTAAATATTTAACTTGCAGATGTTAGTGATGTTTGAAAAGTCATTATTCTCATCTGTGTAGACAGAAAACTTGCCATAAACTTTGACATAATCTCTTGTGAAAAATACTGTTACTCTAAACATTTATAATCAGGGATTCACACAAAATGTTATGCTAAATAGCTTAGCTTAGGAACTAGAGGCTACAAGCAGGTCCTCACCTTTGAAAACAAAATATTCTTTCCCACAGAGAACACATTTTTCATTCTCAAAGGCTTTGTAGAAGCAGCACATGGTGTCACACATTTGTAGGATTCTGACACTCAGTCCAAACTTAATTTTTAAACAGACTGCATCTGGATGATTTACCAAGGTATTGAAATTGCTGCAGCTTTCAGAAAGCAAGGCAAAGTCAGACATACATTGTGAGAAAATATTAATACACTGTCGCTCGTTGCATTTGTGTAACAGGTTGGTAATAGCAAAGTTTCTCCATTCAAATACTAGTTTATTCAAAATGTCAGTGGAGACTTCTGTTAAGGAAATCACAGAAAAAGTTACAAAGGCATATCTATTTTAAGTTAAAGTGGAGAAATATACACAATGTTTCTCCTCATTGCCTTTGTAAAAATAATTGATGGATGCATCTATAAAAAACAACAACAGGCATGCATTGAATTTTTTATCAGTTGCAATTGCAAATGCAATTTTCATCCAGTTAGTATTCCTTCCTAATCTGGTTGGTAGAAGTGCATGGTCAGTGCCCATGTTTTTATGCTTAATTTCTCCTGCAGTTGTGCCAATGTAAATCAAGAACTGATGAAGATATTTTGGTGTCTGAGAGATCAGAGTCTGGCAGCCAGCATCACAAAAGAGCACAAAAGCTTCACCATGGCATCACACCAACCTTGGGACCAATGATTCCAATTCCGCGTGGCCCTGGGGGCCCAGGATAGCCTCTTATTCCACGGTCTCCCTGAAATTAGTCACAGAAATGTCAGTAATTTATCACCTATTAACTGTTACATCTTTCATCCACTTATGAAGCAGTCAATCAAACTACTGAGTTTAAAACCCAGAACAAACGTTACACATATAAACAGTTGCTTTATAGATATATATAAAAAATGCTTCCACATTATTTAAGCTCTAGGTGAAGAACATTATTCCCCAGGCAAAGGTCCACGTGATCGAAATCACCTACAGAATTAGGACTCTAATTTGCAAACTCATCAGCTACAGAAGAAAAAGAAAAAAGCAAACTTATCTGAAACGCCACTAGTTTTCCATCACATTCTGGAGGGGCTTACCAAGATGGACAGGGACCTTACAAGTGGGACACAACAGTGATCATGCCCTTTACTGATACTATGCTTCTGAAACTAGAGCCATTTAATTTCCAGAACTGTCAAACTAATGTGTTTATGAAAACTAAATTAATTTTAACAGCATTGACATAGAAGAACAAAAAGAACAGCCCTTTCTTTGTGTGCTTAAAAAGCCTAAATGCATATATGTTTAGCTTGATTTCTTAAGGAAATGAGGCTTAAGTGACACACTGCCTGCATTTCTGCTTGTCTGTGTTAGTCCTCTTTTTTTCTCCCACTACATTTTGAATTCATCAGTTGATTTCAGCCAAATTCATCAGAAATGTAGAGGCCTTGAGCATATTCGTTTTCATCAGTTTTGGTGATAACTGGATGCTGGGTAAAGGACAGAGATTCATTTTATGCTTTTATTGGGGAAAAAAACAGCAGAGGGGGCTCAGCCCTTAACCAGGAGGCAGACAGAAGGCAGCAGCCAGCTGGCCAGGGGGAACGAGAGGAATGCTGAGCCTGGTGCTGCCCCTCGTGCTGCAGACGAGCCCAGCGAAGGAGATGGGGGTCAGGGGACATTACTGGTAAGAGAAGGCATGGGGATATAAAAGGCAGTTTTGTTTTCCTCAGTCCATAATTGTACAAATGAGGGAATAGGCACACATTCAGCACATGATCACTAGAAAACTCCTATCAGTTTGAAAAGAAAAAAGAAATCTATAACTGATAAGTTATAGATGCAGAAAATTAAGAATCAGGTTTAGCAAATGTTCCTAAACCTATGCCTGTGCAGGCAGTGCAAAGAAAGAAATATTCTGATCAGCTATTGATCATCCAATATATTAACAACAGAGACAAGAATAAACTGTATTTCTTTACAAAATAAAAAAAAAAATAATTGCAAGAACTCTTCATTGTACTTATTTTTGCACTTGTACAAGCTGTAGAAACGGCTGTGCCTGCAGAGGGAGCATTCCAACTAGGAGAGGGGTGCAAGCATGAATCACACAAATGACAGATGACACTTGAGTTGTGGTAGGTGAAAAGAAACAACGTATCAAACTGCTTAAAAAGGAAGGGAATGAAAGTACAGAATCTTTACTAACTTCTTTACTCCCTGGGAGGAATGTGTGCAGTTATTACGCCGACTGCTTTTAGGTAAAATAAATACTTGAGGTTCAATCTCTAGCGAGAGATCATTCCAATTTTTATATGTGGCTATGATACTCTCATGCTAAGTCACAACATATGTGCTATTTATGTAAATACATTAAGGCCCAAACTATGCTCAGGTCTGATGGATTTGGAGAGGTGAGAACTCTGAATCCAAAGGCTAAGGCTTAGATTGAATTCATAATGCTTTCCCTCTTGATGCAACATTTGGCTTCTGGATTTATTTTCAATTCCTCTTCCTTCCAAAGCACTGGAGATGGGCCGATTAGAGTCAGCACACAGGCATGGTACAAGGATGCTCTTAGCTTTAAGCTAGTGTGTCAAGCTGATTGGGTTAAACTAATTGCTATGTTCAGTCAGAAGAAAATTTCTCCCTCAGATTTGATCAGAGAGGGGAGTTTGTTGTCTTCATCTAGTCTGGTTTGGAAAAGGGAACTAAAGAGAGAGCTACTTTCTTTCGTAGTGGTGTTCTTCAGATGACCTGAGGCTTTTATATCACATCTTCCCTGCTAATGCAAAAAGCCAAGATATTGGCAATGCCCTTGAACTTTTTGCCCCCTTTTTTTTTTTATAATTATAGCTATAAACTCTTTAAGATTAGAATCATAAGTACTTAAAGATTGCAGCACTTGGGTCTCGTACATTGTGCTAGGAAATGCCCCTCTTCAGTGGGATGAATGGTAGATATTCCTTTTAAAACATGCCTGGTTTCTCAGTTCCTCCTACAATGCATCTTCCTACAATTAGCTTGAGATCGTCATGTTACTAGGAAATACTGAGAGTCTAGGCAAACGTAGTCATCTTCCTGTTAGTACCATCTGTTATCAAAGGAACAATTATTGGTCCTCAATGTCCCCACAAAGCATAATACAACCTTAAGCTGTTTGTAAGAGAGCTCTTCATGAGCAAAAGCTGTGCTGAGCAGCCAAAGCTTTCCGTGGCCAAGCCTCCCTCTGAAACCTGCCAGAGCCAAGAGGTGGATGTACGGATAAGACTTTGCATGATAAATTTTTTTTAGGAGATCCTGGGCTGCTGTGGCCTGTGAAACAGCCTGTAAGTCACTGTGATGGAAGCTGAATGGGAGGTTATCAAACATGTAAATGATTCCTTATGGTCCAGTATCCAATATACCTACAACCTGCTCTTAGACCAGTCCTGACCAAAAAGAGCGTAAGGGTGACTTGAAGCCATTCGCCTCTTCCTCCCATGGGTAACACGTTCTTACACAGGGTCGTTGCAGGTGAAGGCCTGAATTTTAGTCCCACATGCTTAGTTAATACTAGATGTCTCACTGAAAAGCTCTTTTGTAGAGCTTCAGATAATCCTCAAAGTTTCTGTATTTCTTGGCTTAGAGAAAAAGACTTTTATTTCGCTTACGAACTGCGAAGTGGAGCAGTTATTTTTTCTAAGGTGTGACACTAAACTGTCCTCCAGGGAATTTATTTCAAGAAGGATTAGTACTGTTCTTTGATGAGGTCTAATTTATTTCCTGTATTGTGTTTGTAGACAAGTTTGTCACCATCAGCACAACAGTGAACTAGAAAAACACCACTGAAACAAGGAATAAAGAGCTGAGTCAAAATAGTGTAAAGTATGGGATTCCAATGTCTATTCCGTACCATTTGTTCAAGAAAATTCATTAAATGACCTAATGGTCACCCGAAAAACAAATCTTGGCTTCCAAATATATACACCTCATTTACTGTGACACATGCGTATCCGATACTGAAATATAACAACAGACACCACAATTCTGTCTTTAGCAAGAGCTAGTGGATGTAACAGTATTTGTAAGAAGAATATATTGAAAAAAAAAAAGACATTGCATCTCTACTTTCCACATTTTAGTGCAAACAGACAGGGCTCAAGCTGCAAAAGTTATTTATATTGCAACTGGATCCAGCGCAAATGTCCATGCACGAGGGACTAGGCTAGGGGTTTTAATAATCCTTCTGCTACCCAGTTACTGAGAATGAAGCTTGCTTTATTTCTAGCGCTGGGCTCTGTAACCCATCTCCTAGTTGGCAACAGCGCTTTTAAATCAATTTTTTATTATATTCTGACATTATGTGCTTCTGTTTTAATGCTACAGAAAACAGGGTGCTGCCAGGATTGAATGCATTCCACATGTTCCAATTTTGTTTTCATGTGAATTTGACCTCTGATACATAAAATTCCTATCTAGCAGTGTGCACATATGTGAGCCATTTCTGAAAGTGGGGAGAACAGAGCTCTGATTCAGCTTAGTGGAACATTCCTATATAATGATACTCAAAGGAATTTCAAATTAACTAGTGTGTAAATTTATGAGTATCTTTTATCAAATAAATGTTCTTTTTTATATGCAGAGGTTGTTGCTGTTCTTCTTACATGTATTTTTTTTTATGTGGAAGGGATGAGAGGTAGCCAGTGCACTTACATTTTATTTGAAAAAACAGAAGATTGTCCATTTTATGACCTAAGTTCTGGAGGATTTCTTGCAATTCAAGTAAATTGTTTTTCCTTGTGGCACCTTTCCTACCAGGAAGTTATGTAGAGACTTCAAAACTTTACATAAGCAAACAGGAGCAAAAAATTAGAGAGGGAAAAGAGATGTTTATATACTTTGTTTTTTTTTCCAGTGTACTTCACAACATGTCTAGTGCAGATGCACAGAACTAAATCACAGATGTGACTATCTATGCAAATAATGCATGCATGCTTTGGTGCAGCACTGACACACTGCAAAAGCTGCAGCTGCTCGCCGTTGATAGAAGCAATATGCATTTTCCCCATAGGATTAATGCACCTATCTAGGTGCATCATAAAAAAGAAACTTACCTACTTTAAAGTAAAAAATACAAACTTGATTTTTATCAGATGTTTTTAACTCTTGACTTTTTTAAAATTTTCTGATACACTGTTAGATAAGCACTACTCTGAGCAGTCAGATTTGATGGGCAATTATCACACTGCAACACAATCAAACCTGTAGATTCACGCAAAACCTTTCATACAAAAATTGATGTGAGCATGATTTGCCCTAATTGTGTTGTGTTACTTGCAAAGATAGCTGCTTTATAGGGTTCTTTGTAACACAAGTCCTACTGGAACAAGATGCCACTGCTCCATAGCCCATGGATATGCTGCATTCTGAATCTACCCCATGACTGGCTACTATAAGTAGAACCCTCTGCTTGATAGGCAGTTTCTAACTCTACGTGTCTATCAACAAATAGTGCCACAGGCCCAACAGGAGTGGATTTGCAGCATGATGTTTACACTGTACGCAATGGGAGGAGACGTGCCTGATCTGCTCCTGTGGACTGATCACCCGCTGTGGGCAGAAGTACATTAGGAGCACTTCCAGATCAGATCATCTAGTTCAGCTTCATCTGAAGGAAATCCATCTCCTAGGTCGTGGGACAGCTCAGACCTCTTTTTGGTCCGGAACCCAAAGCACAGTAAATGGGTCCGCTGGGAGATTCACTTCAACAGCACATTTCCAATCCAGCCTAAAACATCCATGCGGATCACCCGAGAAGACCCTGAGTCTGTATGTGTGGCTGACTGCACATGCTGAGGTCCCGCTCTTCACGCTGTATCACACACAGCTCCCACAACCACAGCAGGCTCTGTTCTATTAACTTGAAAACACAGCTTCCTTGCAACCATGTTTTTCAACAATTTGGTTATTGGAATCAAGCTACCTAATTCTGACAATTTTTGTGACAATGGAGATGACTTGATGGAAATGAGGAAGATACTTTTAATTTACATAACAATGCTGATCTGATCTGAAATTGTCAGAAAATACATGAGAATAGTGATAACAATTTATTAAGTTTGCCTTAGCCTAATCTTTTGCTGACTTCTTTACAGATAATGAGCTAGGATAAGAGTTTATATTACTAGATATTTCATTATACTATTGCCTGTTTTAATTAAATACTATTAAATTCTAAGAGCCTCACCTCTTGGTCACAGCTGTTTCACTTTGCTCAGTCAAATTCAGGTTGAAATAATGGGCCTATTGCCAAATTTATTATTAATTGGTAATGTTCAACTAAGACAACACAGGTCATATTCCTCCACAAAAAATACTACCAATAAACCTCCTTTACTCATACCATGAATGTACTTTAGCCCACAGATCTGGAGGGATGGTAATACTTCTTATGGTGTTAATGGGTGGAGAAGAGACTAACAAGTAAGGATTTGATGTCTTTATAAAGGAATATGAACAACTCACTTCAACTGGTAATGATTTACACCACTTAGAGCTAAAAGTGAAAACTGCTAAATACTATAATAGCTAATCTATGATTTCATTAAATATATGTTATTATATCACAAGATTTACAGTGGTGTAAGAATAACTGTGATAAAAAGACTAGTTGTCCACTGCAAAAAATGGATAGATTTTCTTTTACTTTACAGCTTTTGTCTCCTCTCCTCTAATGCATTTTATGACACCATATTGTGCTTCCACCATTCATGATGTGGGTTGGAACTTTTTTAATAATTATACAGCTGAAGAATTGCTTGTCCCAGCGATTACATGAACTTGTGATTATAAGAACAAAAGGGACTTGTGACTCACTTTTTCATCTCTCATATAAGCCAGGCACTATGATTTTCCTAAGCACATTTATGTATACCTTGTATATTTCTGATATTTTTCAGAAACACCACCACAAATGCTGATTTTAAAAATTCCAGTTGTGAGAAATTTCACTGCAATTATTCTAATGGTCTCCTTTCACTTAAAAAAAACCAACAATCCTTTATTTCCATTTTGGATTTAACTCAAATTTCTTTATATTAAAACCCTATATTCCCACTAAAATGCTGATTTATATCTCTAGGGTTTGTATAATCTTTCAACCAGGGCATCACAGTGGGAGATCATCTTATTTGATTATGTGCCACGACCTTCCAACTCCTTTTCTTTGGGAAACATTACTTTCCAGAATTATGCATTTAGGAAGCGAGGAAGAATTCCAGACATAATGATGTTCCTAGACACTGTAGTCATATGTTATATTTTTACCAATATCTGCCTTAGTAATTTCATACAAGATTGTAGGATTTTAATGAAATGTTCTTCTGTAGACACTGTAGTCATATGTTATATTTTTACCAATATCTGCCTTAGTAATTTCATACAAGATTGTAGGATTTTAATGAAATGTTCTTCTGTAGTACCAAGAAAAATGTCTTAGAAGACTGTATTACATCAAGTCTGATCTCTCTATTTGGAAAATATACAATCTCATATAAAAAAAAAATTAATTAGTTTAGCCGTATGTATTTTCTGTAAGTCTATATTGAATAACATAATTGAAATTATTTTTAGTTCTTTAGGAGTTTGTGTCATGGGCCAGACCTCGCATACTGTTATGCGAAATGTCTTGAATTGATAAGTGGTAATTTAGAACAGGAGCACAAAGCCAGGTTTCCCAGATCCTGTTGTCAGGCCATTCTGTGGTCATTCTAAGGATGAAGGTCCTTCAGTTTTTCCTTTATTGTGGATATTTTTTAAGAGGTTATTGTTGCTGTTTATTTTAAATGGGAATTCTCATGTTCTGGGAACCGAAGTTGAAAGTTCCTTCTGTTTGGGAATAAAACTTTTTTGGGCGATATTTATTTTGCTTTCTCCTGCAACAGGCGTCCTGTTTCCTATTTCACATATGTAACAAGGAAATAATTAATAAAACCACTCTGTGGGATATTTTAAGCAATTTCTTGTATGATTTTAGTCTTAAGTCTCTTTTTTCCAACTTTTTATAATATAGTAGTTACAATGTGAGTTTTCAGGTGAATTACCTACTGCTTAGAACTTTGTAACACCTTAGCTATTCTGTGTTTTATGAAAAAACTTGGAAGTGATTTAGTATTGTATTTCTAATCCCTCTACTAGTTTTGTTTTGTTTTCTGCTGAGTTTTGTCTCTAAACTAGTATTAATTTTAGACGAAGGCTTATAGTCTTCTCTTACGAATCCATTTCTAGGAACTTAAAAAATATCTCATTAGTTCCACATAACCAACGTTTCCCCTGACTCCTTTGGAGCCTCATCTCTTGCAATTCGTGGGAGAAAGTAAGTGAGTAATTATTAGGCAATACTCTGCTTGTGTTGGATTCTGACTTCCACACGGAAACTCCAGCATCTAGAAACATCCTGGGTGTTTGGATGTCTTTAAAACCTGCAGATTTGCATCAAATCTGGGGATAAAGCAAGAACTTGTTTGTATCTACCTTGGCAGAAAAGTCTATTGCAAGCTTTTCGTCTAACTGAAATGGAAAGTGGGAAATGAGATTGCAGCATTTTGTCATATATATGCCATTCTAATGTAATGCATTTTACGGAAGACGTTTGTCTACCTTGTCTACTAATCAGATGCATGTACTACCATTGTACAAGTACCTTTTGTCCAGCATCTCCCACGCCTTTTGGGCCTGCTGGTCCTGGGGGGCCTGCTGGTCCTGGAGGTCCCTGGTACAGCAGAGGAATAAAGCATGTCAGAAGTTGTCCTAAAGGAAGTGTACTTGTCTTCTTCAATAAAGAAGAGAAATTCAGTAACAGTTACTAATCTATTTGGTTTTGCTGTATTTTGTAAAATTCTTCCCATTTCTGAGGTGTACTGAGCAACAGTCATCCTCAGTCCCATGTGGAAACCTGAAAAGACTACCAGAGTGGTGGAAAAAAGTCCAGCTCTTGACTTAAAAACATTGGAGTTGTTCTCAGCTCAGAGAAACCAGTGAGAAAGCAGACTTTGCTCCATGATTCCTACACTGCAGACGTTATATATCTGGAATACCAGAGCTAACCCATCTAAATTTGGGGGCTGGACAACCCTAACCTACTTTGGTGTACTTGTGTTCAATAGTCTGTTCTCCTGAACTCCTCACTCAACCTGTCACAGCCCCTTCTGCTGCCTTTCCTACTGCTGGAGGCATCCCCAGCCTCACTATCCTCAGCATTCACAGGGCAGATGTCTTTGCCCCACCATGCTACAGAGACTTAGCTACATAAATCTTGTTCACGTCTGCCAGCAGTTTACGAAGTTGCTCTTTCCAGATCATGGGGCATGGAAAGGTGGCCTGAGAAGGGGAAAGATGCATGCTACAGCACAACACAACCTTCACACATTTCAAGGATGTGTACTCATGTGGCAGGGAGAAACACAACCAGCTTTTACTGAAGCCTGAGATTGAGTTGCAGACAACCATGACTCTTACAGCAGTTGCAGATCGGAATCCTAAAATAGACATGATTTTAGGAATACTACTACAGAGCAAAGCACTTTTTTTATTATCTAGTCGGAAATAGAAATGCAGGAAGCGCATACATGTAAGTTTGTCATCCTGTGACTGGGCAGATTACAACCAGCATTTGTATGGTTTTTTAATCAATGGTTACTAAACCAAGTTAATGAGAAATTAAAAGTTTTCAGCTTCTCACTGACCTCTTTGATTCTGTATCTACCAATACTTCTTTTTCATATAGTTTAAATAGATATCTTAACTTGTAAAGCTTAAAACTTCAGTTCCTATGAGGCATTTTAAGGCCTACTAAAAGTTTGTCAGTCATCTATTTGCATCACTGCCTTCTTCATGATTACCTTTGGATTTGCTTTTCATTTTTATTTGAGATGACAGTGGAATTTTTTCATGTTTGCATGTCCTCTTTTTAATGGGTCTGGGTCCGTTACTCGCACTCCTTGACCTTCCAAGGAGTCTGGAGATGGTCTAGTGTCCCTCTATGCTGTGAAATGTGTCAGGTACATGGCATTACACCAGGAATTCTGAGTGAATACCCTCTGAACTAATTCTGATCCCAAAGGATTTTCCCAGGATCAGTGTGAATGATAGGAAATAGAAGGTGAGTCGTGACTTACTTAGAAGTACTCAGGTCACACCTCAGTGTATTTGGGATTGCCTTTGTCGTCGTAGTTTGAAATAAAGTTGGATTACAGACATAAAGAAAATAGTGCTAATGGAAGTTTGACATGTGTGGTTGAAGGATGGCAACAGTATTTTCACTTCCTAGTGAAAGGTTGGTCAAACATGTCTATGTGGCTTTGGATGACTGAAATTTAGGATGATACACACTTGTAACAGAATGTGCCAGCTGGAGTACTCAGGCATTAACCCCTCTGGAGCTAACCATCAGAAAAGCAAGAGAGCAGGGAGAGGGTCGGGAAATCTTCAAAAAAGAGGATTTAATGCCCTGTTATGAAAAGCAGCTGAAAAACCAAGGAATTAAAGGCTGCAAGATTTGGCCAAGCAGATGTTATAAGAGATCTTCAAAAAAGAATAGTACAGGAAAGGAAGAGAGAGAAGAAGGGAAGCAAAAGAATTCAAAGCAGTGATTATATTAAACATGTATGTGCAGCCATGAAGATTTTTATGGAATTACAAGGTACCCCTTTCATGATGCTGAAATGAGAACAGCTTATATCCGTTTCAGACTGCCTGTGGAAGAGGCACTGTATCTATGACTGGAAAGGACTTCAAAATATGTATGAAATATTTAAGTTAGCTGAAGGGTGAAAGAGATTACTTGTACTTAGTTAAATAACTAAATATTGAGTCATCATACAACATTTTTTTTTTTGTAGAACACAAAGTACAGAATTAAAATTGTACTTACAACTTCACCTTTGTGGCTATCGCCTTTTGCTCCAGGGGGTCCAGGAGGTCCAGGTAGTCCTCGGTTACCCTAAATACAAAATAGGAAATCAGGCATCGTGTCAGTAACTGAATCATCACGATGTAACAAATATTACAAAATACATAAGGAAACTATTTAATGGCCTTTTGGAAATATAGACGTTACCAGCTCTTGCAATTTGTTCACAAATTTCAGAAATTTTTGTGCTTTTTTTATTGTTGTTTCAGTTGATCAAATTAAGATTTCAGAAGAATAGGAGTTCTCATTAGGAAATTATTAATTTCTAGATTTGTAGTTCCAGAGAGAAATCTTCAGAACACTGACTTTATCTTCAGCCAATACAAAGTTAAATTTATTTTTAAAAAGGTAAACTTCTATGACTTTGGGGGTAAGACATTTGAACAGTGAATTTAACAATACTGAAACATAATATGCCAGCCTTAAGTTATCATACGTTGCACGTTTTGCACTTCCAGGTAATCACATTGGTTCTTTCATACA